TGCTCTTTGTATGATGCAAGTTGAACAGGTAAGGTGATAAAATGCAGCCTTGTCTGACGCCCCCCCCCCCCCGTTCATTGGGAACCATTCTGATTCTCTGTATTCTGTTCTAACAATAGCCTCTTGTCCTGAGTACAGATTCCTCATGATGTGTCATGATGTGTATCAGATGTGTTGGCACTCCCATGTCTTTAAGAGAGTTCCATAGCCTTTCATGATCTGTGCAGTCAAAGGCTTTGCTGTACTCTATAAAGCACATGCTGATTTTTTGGGAATTCATTATATATATATGTGTGTGTGTGTGTGTGTTTATTAAACAACATAAGTATTAAAAACATCATAGCAAACATAACATTCAACACTGATCATAGATAATATCGAACACTGGTAACAAAAACATCAACCCACACATACTTCCCCACTCCCAATACCTCATAGATAGCAAAATTGAGTAGTTGACAAAATGACAACAAAGTTTATGTTGACTTCCTTCCTAACAGTTCTTGTTTTAACTGAATATAAATGAGACATATTTCCCTGAGTCTTTACTTGCAATTTTATCATTGTCCCAGTAATCAAGCTACACTGTAGGTTAGATATAACACAGTAAATTGTATTTATCCACTTGCTTTACAGCTTTCATCTAAAATAAAAATTTTTTTCCATATAATTACCTCTATTCATATCTTCCTTCCTTAGTTACAGATCTAAGGGTTTTCCATTCTTAAGGGTTCATAATCATAATAGTGCCCCAACATTTTCTCATGTATTCATAAAATATGTACCACTTTTTAAAAATAGATTCTTCTTAGGAACAGGGAGAAAAACAGAATAATTCTTTTGGAATTCCTTGTTGCACTCCATTAGCCATCATATGTTTGCTATGTTGACCCTAGTGTCTCTGCCTTTCCTGAACCCTGCTTGCACCTCTGAGATTTCTCTATATGTGATTGGAGTTTAAGGGGCGAAACAGACGGGCAGGAAAAAGTGTCTTGAAGCTGCCTTTTCCAAAGCCCCATTGAAACCCCACCAACCACACCACCGGCTCTCAAGGTAGCTGGAGTGCAAGTGTCATGACCACACAGCATGGCTTCAAGCTGCGCCACTGGGTCCTTT